CTCACTTTTAGATTCCTTCAGTCTTTTTCATTGTCTCGGGTGAGTGATCAAACTAATATAAATACTTTACATTACTGCAAAGCCAAGTGCTTAAGTTTGACAGTCTCAGTGAACCATTCTTCACCCAGGGGTTTTTCAGATAACTGAATTTCTACTTTTTTGTTGAAACGATTCATTGTACGTTGTAGGGGTACATAAAGTGCCAATCCCGGCGATGGAAAGGGCGTGGCTGTGCAATCATTTGGGCGTGATGTAGGATGCGTTTTCCGCAGGATGTTTTCGTTTAAAGGCAGTTGGCACGATAAATCCTCCAAGACGAGCAGGACTAATACGCCTGGCAGGACGGAATTCCGCGACCCTGAGCAGGCGCTGCATAATGCCTTTTCCAGGAAGGTGCCCTTATAAGGGCGCTATCAAGCCACAACTTTACGACCCAAACGCCCGCCCGCCCACAAATGGACGACTGTTCCAGACGCTCTAATTGATTCATTTGCTAAGCAAATTATGAAGCGAAGGGATTGGTATGAAGCGGCCGTGATGCTGCATGGATATATGAGTACACATATGCAGCCGTACCTTCGGTAGCGGTTATTGGCAAGATGCCTACAGGAAACTCGTCCAAAATTGATTTTGAACACATTGAGAACGGAGGCTCTTTCTTCGCAGGATTTTGACCGTTTCACTCCGTTCTTTCGCCATTTCCCCACTATATAGCGCCCTACTAGCATTTTAGGCCGAGCACCAAATCATCGTGCCAACTGCCTTTGAGGCAGCTATCATCCTATTTTGTGTTGAACAAAGGACATTGCCGTTTTCCAAGAATGGCGATATCCCAGCAAAAGTCCAGCCGCTGGCACGGGCAAATGAAGTGCGCAGCCACGCCTACTCTATCCCCGGGATATGAATGTACATGGATCGGAGAAAAGAAAGGTTTTTTCCTGCGTACTTCTCGGAATACCAGTGAAATGACCAACGCAATTACAGTTTATGATTTGAATCCGCGACCAGTCTTCATCTGATAAGGAAATCCTTGCATACGCGTGTGCTTTTTATTTTTTTCTGTTCGTCTATATCGAACAAAAGAGTGTACGAGAACACAGAATCTTCTTATAGGATTTCTTGATTGAGTTCCACACGGGGTTGTCAAATCACCTTTATTGGCGTTTCGGCGGGATCGTCTTCTTCAGAGCCTGAAAGGATCGAAGCAATTTATGACTACCCGACCGAAGACCAGTTCATTTTTGGGTTGTTGACCTCAATCCAAAATGCCTCGAGGGTTTTGCGTGCGGATGTCTGCTATTCTCGTCAAGACTGTGGTCAAAATCCCGTCATGGATTGGAACCCTAAACACTAGAATCTTCCGTTCGAAAACGGAAATGCTTATATATCACCATGTTTGTCACGAACTCTACCCCCAATCTCGGAATTACCAGGATCACTACAGACGGAGCCATCTCCTTTTTTGTGTTACCCCTACAACATAGAACAAACCATTTCGAAAAACGCTCCAGACCCTTTCTTCTTTTTAAGTCCTTTTAGTTCATTATATTTACTCGGTAGACTTGATGTCATAGGAAATTAGATGAAGAAGAACCATTGGATAGATTGGTTGGTGTAAAGTGGTTCATCTATTGTATGTAGGCTTCTATTTCTGGCACTTGAATCAACAGTATAAAGCAAGAGATTGGCTTCCGAATGCGATGCATATTGGCATAAATGGCAAAGAAGTATGGGTATTACCGGGATTCATAGAGTTCACATCTACTGAAGAGCATTACGTGCTCTCGCTGGGAAGCTCTTGTGCTGTGCTTCACATCCATAAAATAAATATGTCGCGGCCTTCATTTTCTTTTCTCTTCATTTTCCAGTCTGGTTAGAAAAACTAATTCTGCAAGTTGTTTGAGGTCTCCTTCAGTTGGAATCATCTACGTGGTTCACTAGAAGCTGAGTGTCCCCAAAAAGTCGTGACATTTTCAGACTTACTTCTGATTCGAATTTGTTTCAACAACAGGGAGTATAGTCTGGCAATGCATGCTCCCTCTCTCTCTCTCGTCTTGATAACTTAGTGACAAGACAAACTGTTGGTATCTCTGCCAGAGGCTTTGCGTTCCATGCTGAAGGAAGCTAGTTGGGTCACTTCTGAGATTGTTCTTGGAGTCGTGTTTCCTGCCCGCAAGGCCGTTGCTAAAGGACAAGGTGAAATGGTACTCAAGGAAGCCAAGACAGAGCTGTACGGCGGGTGGGGTAGAACTTCCCAGCATAGCTTCAAGATCTCAAGTTGTGTTATTTCCAAGCGTCGTGGGATGGGTGAATTTTGACAATGAGATGAGAGGAAATGGTAGAACCTTTTACCTTCTTTTCTTGTTGATTACCAGAGTTCGTCAGTAATTAGCGTTTTGAATGCGAATGTTAGTTGCTGAGAGCTGAAAGCTCTTTACATCTGCCGGTCTCTCGCCTGATTACTAACCATTGCCTCTTTCAAGGTTCGTGTATTCATTGACGAAAGCTGGTCGTTTGGTGTGATTGGAAACACAGGAAGAGGTATGCCTATTCATAATATTATAGTATTAGAACTATTACTTACAATATATACATCGACATTGCTATATTGCACTTAAATTATCACCACAAATGGCATATGTACAGTAAGAAGATCAAAGTAACCGTACTCGTAATGAACACGTTATTACTATGTTTGGATCTGATATTTGAGTCTGCTTGAGCATCAGACGTTGTGTTGAAAGTGGAGTATTCTAATCGGTCTCCGTACGCTACGAGCATGTCTAACAGAGCGCCATTTGTCCAACCAAATCCAGGCTGAAATAGGGTTGGAGTTATCAGTGTGAATATTCTAAGAGTTCTATTTAATTTTATTAGTGTCTCATCTTGTATGTTAAGGGCAGCGGACGAATTTTTAACACTATGTTGTGTTAGCTGAGGGGGGGGGGCACCATAAGTATGAAGCAGCACACAGTGCACGTGTTACCCTAGTGCGAGCTTTTTGAGCATTTTGCTCGTATTTTCTTCAGATTCAGGTCCGGATAAGGTTGTGGAAAGTTATAGGAACCGCGGACATGATGTTCTCTTGATTTCTTGAGTCTTGATCAGGTTTATTTGCAACGGGCGCTGCACCCTGACGCTAAAGCTGCTCTTCTT